AAATATTTATTTTTTTAAAATCATTTATAAAATATTTTTTTTACACCTGTTACCCACCCACCTCATTTAATTTTTATGAAATTTCGAGAAATTCTTTCTATTGTATCGCATAATGTTATAGGGGTATGTGCTCAGAGAATTTAAATCAGGAATTGGGGTGGGCGGTCAACAGAAAATCGTAGAAAATCTTCCATCGTAAAATACAAAATGTAATAAAATTAACACATTATTTAATTAGAAAAGCGTTTAATATTTTTTGCGATAAATAATGTATTTTTACAAGAATTGTTTTTTTTTTTTCGAAATTTTAATTGAAATGATTCATAAAGCTTTATATCTTTCAGAATTCTGTACTAATTTGAAGTGGTTTGTTGATATTAAATTATAACTCTATTTACTGAATAGGCTCACTTCAGTTCTAACGTCTAACGTCTATGTTAAAAAGTATTTTCAGTTTATGTTATGTGTGTATAAACGTGCCGATTTTTGTAAGTACGGGCGTACACAGTATTTTCCGAATATAAAGGAGATAACTATGACAAATTTAAAATTTATTGGTAATTTTCTTACATTTTCTCAACAAACGTCTTCGTAAGACTATAAAGCAAGAGTACCTATTTCGATTAAATATTAACATTCTTAAATATGTTATAATCTCAAGATTACTTGATAATTTTTTTTAAAAATTATATAAAAAAGAGTTTACGTTGTATTCGACACATAATTTTACTGCAATTAACTACTATTTCAATTTCCCAAACAACAGGCTATCGATAGATGTGTCAAAAAAAATGCCTGCCTCAGTTTTATAAATAGCTTTTCTGCAATATTTTAAACTCAAAATAAGTAATATTTGTTTCAATCAGATTAATTAAACTTTACATTTATCAAATAAACGTTCTAGAAAAGTATATTTCATTTTTTTTTTTAAAGATTTTGGTAATAAAGAGAATTATTTTGTGTTGTCAATATGGACGATTTTACAGATTTTACGGAAAATAAAAAAATCATAAATCAATTTAAATTCGACATGAAATGCAAAAAAAAAGTATTTAAAATATAGAGGTTTGTAACAATAGTTCTTAATACGCATTTTTTTAAAATATTCTCGACAACCTCATAACTCAGTTATTTCCCTTGAAGCGTTACTCAAATTAATCGCACTAAACTCAGTGTTCACTAGTAAAAAATTTAAGTTTCAGTTGAACACGGCAATTTTGTCTTTGAAAATGTTTAAAACTACAATATTTATCGTGAAAAATAAAACACCTTGGTGATGGCATTGCGTTAATGTCGAAAGTACTTGGAATAAATAATATATATCAACACGGTAATTTTCTCTCTTTCTTTAATAATGAAACCCCAAAACTTTTTCGTGCATATGAAAGGATCCGATTGAAAATAAGCAGAAAAACTTATCTAAATTATCCAATAAAACCTGTCTCAATATATATATATATATATATATATATATATATATATATATCTACTATATATATATATAATATATATATATATATATATATATAGTATTACTATTATATATATATAATATATATATATATATATATATATATATATTATATATATATAATATATAAAAAAGTAAAACAAAATAGCAGTCGCAAGTTCGCTGCTGAAGCAAGACATTTCACATAACCTTCAAACGTATCTATGCTATTCTCTGCTATTGTTTACTAGCAGACTCCTCTAACTCGTCTTGCTGTCTTGTTTTTTCCTTACTGCATTATGTGTTTGGTATCTACTGGACACCAATCAAACAACCTTTTGGTCCATCTATTATCCTTTTTTATGTTTGTATTCCGCAGACGTCAATATATGTTGTGTAATCACTTTTATGATATCTTTTTTCTTGTTCTGGAGTTTAATAAAAGAATACGGAAAAAGAATTCAATGTTTCTAAAGCATTTTTTAAATTAATTTTTAACAGTTTGCGTATTAGATAGATAGATAAATAGATAGATAGATAGATAGATAGATAGATATGAACATATTGAGATAGATAGATAGATAGATAGATAGATAGATAGATCAAGAGACAGACAGTTGAAGAAAGTGAGATAGATAGATAGATAGATAGATAGATAGATCAAGAGACAGACAGTTGAAGAAAGTGAGATAGATAGATAGATAGATAGATAGATAGATAGATATGAACATATTGAGATAGATAGATAGATAAATAGATAGATAGTTGAAGAAAGTGAGATAGATAGATAGATAGATAGATAATGAAAAATAATTAATGAGGAAGATATGCCCTTAATATATAAGGTAGAAATGGTTAACCTCGGCCTCAGTGCGATAACCATTAACGCACATGAAAAGATTCACATTATCAAATAAAGTGATAATAAAAGTTATAAAGCCCTTTCTACCTTATATATTACTGGCATTAACTTCATAATAAATTGCCTATTCAAAGAATAATTCTATATCAATGAAATCAACTTGGATCCATGCAAACACAGCTGAGAAAATGTAAACATTGAGTTATGATTGCGTTTACAGCAACCTTTAACTTTCACTAAACTTTCAATAACGAATAAAAAACTAAGAATTATGCATCATAGTTGCGGTCGAGTCAAGATTTTAGAGATGCTTAGGTGTGGCATGGCCAAAAATGGTTGGGAATCACTGACCTATAGATAAAGTTTATTCGAGTTTATACCTGAGTCTATATAGTCCCAGGTTCATACTTGAGTCAATATATCGATCGGGTTTATAATTAAATTTTTACGCACCCATCCAATGTTTCCCTCAAATGTTATCAGCTCTTTTCAAAGGTGACAGTCGACGTATTCTCTTCCTCGCAGAGAGGGCAGCATTTATACGAAAACAACTTTGACGAAATCAAAATTTAAAATGGCATCGTCGATACTACTACTCGTTCCGACAAGTGTTAAGATATTCGCACGTCTTAAATATAACATTTTAAATAAAAATGGAGGAAATAATTTCGTTTCATTGAGTTGAATTTCCTCTTTGTAAAGCTCTGTTATTTCTCTACGACATTTTTGTCTCGGACACTGTCTATACTCGTGTATTAGTCGAGTTTGTTTAGAACAAATTAATGTCCTTTTAGGCTTCCTCCACGTGAATAGGAGTTCACTTTTTGAATAATAAGAATTATATGTTATCAAGAATTTACAGATTCTTAGGTGGGCCATGGTCAAAAAAATGTTGGGAAAGATTGCTCTATAGAAAAAGATTCTGTAAGAGGAACAAAAGGAACGTAAGGAAAACTTAAAATTTGAAGGAGAAAAAGGTGAGAATTTAATTCGTTCCTTTCGTAACCCGAAACGGTCGTAAACCGAAATTATTTTTCTAATAGGAATCAATGTAGAAAAGAAAAGTTACAGAACAATAAAATTGGATAAGAACAGTACAGCAAAGCACAACACACGAATGTATTCAACATGGCGGTCGACTCAGAAATGATTCCGTTCGGGTTTACTCGGTTCGGCAATGTTGTTCGAGAACCGAAATTTTGTTCGATAACCGAGGTATTTTCATCTCGAATTTTCTGTTCGAAAACCGATTTGTTCGACATGTGAGACGTTCAAGAACCAAGGTTGCACTGTATGAGATTTTACAAGTATCATGACCGTGGAAGAGTATAATAAACCAGAATAAAAATGCAAGTTCCTCAGTTCGAAACTCGAACTTTATCACCATCGCCAGTAGCGATTACGATCAGATGAGCAATATGCCTCACCCCAAATAATAGAAATTGTTGTTGTTGTTCATATAGTTGTTATGTGGGCGCGAAAAAAAGATGTGTGTGCAAGGTGGGCGATGTTAAAACTACAACATTAGTAGAAAGATCATTGCAACGCTTCGGGCTTGTAAGGGCATGTTGAATTGCACCAGACGCCGACCTTTCGATTTTTGTCTACCATGCAATGCATTGGATGCGTTCTTTGCTTTCTGTTCCTCGCATCCCCGCTTCTCGCCATCTTTAGGCTGGTTTTTCCCACAGACCGGAAGGCGCGGGAAATTGCTTTCTATCACCACAAAACTCTTCCTTTTTTTTTGTTATTGTTTAATTCTCCATCTAGCTCTGTCCCACACTCTCTCGTTTCATTTTCTTTCTTTTTTTCTCTTTCTTTCTCTTTCTCTCTATCACACATATACACACATACACACACAAAAACGCACACACATGCACATACACACACAGTCTCACTCTCTCTTTCTTTTTCTAGCGATTTAAATATCTCTTTGGGTTTAGAGCGTAAGAAGAGATTCGTACATTCCCACACACATGCGCACACAGCCATCTATCTATCTATCTATCTATCTATCTATCTATCTATCTATCTATCTCAATCTGTCCATATCTATCTATCAATCTCCGTCCATATCTCCCTCTGTCTCTCTCTGTCTATCTATCTATCTATCTATCTATCTATCTATCTCAGTCTGTTCACATCTATCTATCTAACTTTCTTCAAATCCTCCCTCCCTCTCTTGATCTATCTATCTATCTATCTATCTATCTATCTATCTATCTCTGTTCACATCTATCTATCTAACTTTCTTCAAATCCTCCCTCCCTCTCTTGATCTATCTATCTATCTATCTATCTATCTATCTCAATCTGTCCATGTCTATCTATCAATCTCCGTCCATATCTCCCTTTATCTATCTATCTATCTATCTATCTATCTTCAAACCTCTCTCTCTCTCTCTCTCTCTCTCTTGATCTATCTATCTAGCTCTCTATCTCAATCTGCGCATGTCTATCTATCAATCTCCGCCCATATCTCCTTTTATCTATCTATCTATCTATCTATCTATCTATCTATCTATCTATCTATCTTCAAATCTCTCTCTCTCTCTCTCTCTCTCTCTCTCTTGATCTATCTATCTATCTATCTATGTTCATATCACTCTCTATCTATATTTGTTCACATCACTTTCTCTCTCTTTCTGTTTATCGCAGTCTATCTGTCCGTCTATCTATCTAGTTATATGTATATCCTGTTTAAAATTTCCCATAATTTTAAAGGAAGAGTGCTCAATATCTGCGATAGAACGTTTGTAGTTATAGACTGTGTCCTTTATCTTAATATCATCTCTCTCTCTCTCTATATATATATATATATATATATATATATATGTGTGTGTGTGTGTGTGTGTGTGTGTGTGTGTGTGCAGCAAGAATTAATCCAAATAAATTTTTATTAAATTCCGCTCATAGGGTCATTTCTTATATCTTCCCAAGTTCTGAATAAAATGTCCTTTTATTATCACAGTCATTATCAAGAACTGGGTATTGCCAATATGGAAAGCAAGATGTTGTTTTACTACATCCTGGAGATTTTATATTGCTGGAATTCGAATTAGAATCAAATGACCTCATATGTAACGGTTAAACGGAAAATAATCTATCGAATTTCTATACTATATATATATATATATATATATATATATATATATATTGAGTCATGTTTCGTTGAATAATTTAGACATGTTTTGTCTACTTATTTTCAATTGAGTCCTTTCATATTCACGGATAAGCTTTTTAGTGTCGTTATTGAAGGACGAGAGAAAATTGCCATGTTGATACATATTTCTTTTATTCCAAGTACTTTCGGTATTGCACAATGTCATCATCAAGGTGTGTTTATTGCAAGACTAATATTTTAGTGATCATTATTGTCTAAGACAAAATTGTTGTGTTCATCTAAAAGTTAAATTTCTTGTCATTTGTCAGTGTGTGATCGCTGACACCGTTTAAGGGGAGGTAACTAAATATGGTTGTAAAGAGTTTTTTTTACGAAATAAGTAGTAAAAAAAGAAAAGAATTATTAGCTTTATATATATATATATATATATATATATATATATATATATATAGTATTACACAACAAAACTCAAAATTACCTCATATGGGGGATAGATCTATTTCAACTGACGGAAACTTCGTCAGTCTTATTCAGCCTTGGTGTATAAACAGTTCGTATCAGAATTAGTAATTTAACTGTGACAGCCGTCGAAAAATTGATACAGAATTTATGCATTTCAATGTTTCAGTCAGACGAAATGCACGAGTCAGTGGTCAGAGGAAGGTGGAAGGTATTAACCTTAAAGGGAAGAGGTTTTATTAAATTAAACCCGAGTATTAACCTTATGATATTAAATTGGGGTTATATTAAGAATGAAGTGTTAAGTTGAAAGTAAAAATGACCGAAATGGGAGTTTAAAAAAATATTATATATATATCAGGTCCAAAGATAAATTATAAATTATGCTTAAAAATGACATATTTAAAAAAGATTAAAAATAAGTCATATTTAGATAATTCATATTAAATTTAAGTAAGAATATATTTTTAAAAATTAGTATTAAATGTAACAGAGAGAGAGAGAGAGAGACTGAGAAACACACACACACACACACACGTATATTTTTTAGTGGAATTGGAGTAGATTTGAATAGCGAAATTAAATCAGAAAATTTTGTTTACTGATGGGGAAATCTGATCTAGAGCAGTTGTACCCATTGAATCTGGGTCATCAAGAGACATTGCAAATGGTCGAAATAATTTTTATCGATTAAAAATTAAAATAGAGCTGAGTAAGCTAGAAGGAACTTTGGAATTCACATGATTTTGGTTGAAGCAGCCACAACACTGTGATAATCGTGCGCGAAGTAGTATAGCCGAGGGTCAGTTATAACCAGCCTGTTTTTATCTATATAAATGCGTAGTTATGCTGAAAAACTTAGACGGGAGAAAATTCTTGAAGAGAGGAGAGAATTGGCCCGGGCAAGCGTTGGGAGGAGGAACGCCACTATAACTTTAAGCCGCGCTCAGAAATCTTTATCCCTCCATCGCAAGAGTCATATACCGTTCTGAGACGATTTAACAACAAGATAATCACCTACACTCTCTCTGTGTCCAGAATCCAATGTATGAGTTTTTTACGTTAAATACTTTTCTTTTCTGTAACCCGTTTCTCTTCTCTACTATTCTTTTCTGCTATATAAAAGACATTAACAATTCAACCATTGAATCGATGTTTGTCCGGCTTTCTGCAGATACTAATTATTTTTTTTTTTTTTTTTTGCTGCATTCTAAATTTCTTAGCACAGACTCCCCAGCCGTGTATACATCTTCAGTCGACCGTGAATGGACGGACATCCCTTCTGCTTTCTGGATCAAACCAAACACAACGTGGGCAGGAAGCAGGATTAAACCAGCGGACCAGTCGAATAATCTACGGATACCCAGGGGACCTATGGCCCCGCCTTTAAGTTCGGTTAGGACCGAGTAGACACCTCAACACAGAGGTTGAGGGGCTGGAGCGAAAGTGTTAGATAAAGAATAAAATATATATTTAAAAAAATACAATAAGACTAAATTATACATTTTTAACTTTAAGGATAAGTTAAATCAAGTTATATTTTAAAAAAAAACAAAAAAAACAAAAACAAAAACCAACCATACAAAGTTATATTTAAAAACCTATAAAAATTTAAAAAAAATATATATATAGTACAATATCAACATTAGTGTATTATTTATTGCAAGAGAAATATTGTAGTGTTCATTGTTATCGAAGATATATAGTGAAAGAAGTGTAAGTGATAAAAGAAAGAGAATTCTTGAAACGGGGAACAATTATAAGATATAAATAATATAGTGAAAAAAAAATGAAAATATAGAAATTAGAAATAGTTATATATTCGACATTTGAAGAGTTAGAGAATTATAAGGTAATAAAGTAAAATCTATATTATGGAAATTTAAATTTGTTTTTACCTCGACATTATAAAACTATTTCATTCCTTTGATTTAATAATTTGATTATTTTATTTTATTATTCTAACTCTTTCTTCTACACATAAGTTACACCTATCTCTAAGACTATTAGGAGTATGAGCGGGACCTATAATTTTCCAGTCTATCCGCGTGTTCAGACATTTCTCCTTCAATTCCCATTTATTTATTTATTCATTTATTTTGAAAGACCTGTTTGGTGTTTTTATCTCGGGTTGGTAAAAGATTGCCTATGGGGATAATATCCCTGCTTCCATTCCTCCGCAGAAATTCTAATGTAAACATTACAATTTAACATATTTCTTTGGGCGAAATGGTTGATTGGTATATAACCCTAGTAGATCTGTTTTTGCCCTCAACCGGACAACTTTCTTTATCTCTACAATTACAGGAGGGTTCAATACCTGGTTTGTTGTTTATTCCATAGAACTTACTAAAAGTATAGTTATTGTGAGATAATAATTGATAATTATAATAGTTGATAATTTTGTGCATGTTATTGGTGCAGGAATAGCTAATTTTAACCATTTTCCTATTGAAGATCTTACTTAGATGGTTGTTCTTAGGAAAATGTTCATTAACTTAAGAAAATACTGTCCGATATTAATATTTGACAATGTGCAGACGAATGTTGAACCACATAATTTTGCTTTTCCTATTTCTGTGTCTACATCTCACTTTAGATATTTCAGTGTTACTTATGGGTGTTAGATAAGGTAATTTATTTTTAAAAGCACTTTTACGGCGAGAATTTCCATACAATTCTTTATTTTTATTAAAGCTGTTTATATTGGACGATAATCGACTAATCCTAGTACCAACAGGGCTGGTTATCTGTCTCACATGCCATTGAGATGGTTAGTGTTAGCATTTATATAGGTGGAGGTTTCATTGTTTTATAGTATAGTTTAAACGTTTTATCATTGACGTTAAGAGCGATGTCCAGATAATCCACTATTTTAAGGTTAGGAGAAAAGTCAGTCTTAAACCCTCGTAACTTAAAGACCCTAATGAATTTCTTTTGCATCTTCGCTGTTAGTGGACCATTACTATTAGGGATTGAAATGAGCCCATTATCTCGATATATATATATATATATATATATATATATATATATATATATATATATATGTCCAAATGTAAAAGATGAAAAGAATAAAATTAAAACATTCATAACATTAATTTAAAAAATGGAAAAAGGGCTCAATACAAGAGTCGAGCAATAAATATTTATTATAAACTGTAGTAACTTTCATGTTCTTTATAATATATATATATATATATATATATATATATATATATATATATATATATATATATATATATATATATATATATATTATGTTTAGAAAACCTGAAGATCGTGTTTTTTCGTAGAAGAGACTGTTATATATATATATATATATATATATATATATAATATAAAGAGAGAGAAAGAAGATAAAGGAGATTATATAAAGCGGTAAGAAGCTGTCAAACGCATTGAAAGCGTTCATTATCGGATATATATATATATATATATATATATATATATATATATATATATATATATATATATATCAACACAGAGAAGAACTCCGCTGAATAATTGAACTCACAAGTGACAAATGCTCCCTGATGGCAGATTAACGCATCTGTGAGTGACCGAATGATATTGGCGTATGTGTGCATATAAAGCCCGGCACGTGCTGCTCAATAAGCACTTCTGGTTGAATAGTCTTACCCACATAGCCAGACTGACATCGACGCATAAAACAATAAAAGAATTTTGTTGATTGGTGGGCAAGACATTTTTACGGATAGACGGGAAAGGACTCCTAGTAGCAAAGGAGTTCTGTACTACTATAGAATTGAAGCATCACATGAGATCTTATTATTTATTTGTAAAAATTACAAAATGTGCCACAAGGGCAGAGTTGGGGATTGGGGAAAAGAACTCATAACTAGCTAGTCGCTCCCATTGACCCATTCGTACTTACAATAAACCTTTCAACATAACACCACATTTGCACTTAACTTTCGCACCACCATTACCAAAAAGACCTCAATTTTTCCACTAGAATCCTAGCATGAAATTTTATTTACACAAAAAGCAAGGCGGGGGATACAATGAATATATACAATGAATGAATTATATGTGTAAAATAAATATGTGTTAGTATCGGGTTCCGCCCTAAGGTGAAAGTGTGG